AACAGAACGCTTCAGTTGCAGCTTTGAAATGGCTTCTTGGGTTTCCAGGCAGATGGGAAGGTAAGGGTTAACACAGCAGGCACCTGTTTTTGGCGGTGATGTAGGACATGATGTTCTGGTTGAAGAACTTCAGGATGAGCGGAATGCAGTTGGCGAAGACCAGATGCTGGGCAACATACTCAAACTGGAGGAAAAGAAAAGGGAAAGTGTCACAGAGAGAAGGAATTTGAAAGACGAGAAATTTTTGTGGCTCAGGACTGGGCAGTGAGCTCCTTGGTGCTCTCTGAGCTGGGTGGTTGCAGATGTTTCATGACCCAACTAGGGAATATCATCAGTGCTAGAAGGGAAGGGTGTGTGAAGGGAGGAGGAGGAGAACAATGACTGTGGAGTCCTTGGTGTTCTCTGAGCTTGGTGGTTTTCTTGCAGACGTTTCATGACCTAACTAGGGATCCTCATCAGTGCTAGAAGGGAGGGGGGGTTTGGAGGAGGAGGAGGAGGAGGAGGAGGAGGAGGAAGAGGAGGTGGTGGTAGAGGTGGAGGAGGAGGAGTATTAAACAAATGTACAGGCAGACCTCGACTTACAACAATTGAGCCCCACATTTCTGTCCTTAAGCGAGAGATTTGCTAAGTGAGCTTTGCCCTGTTTTACGACCTTTCTCGTCAAATCCATCCCTGCCGCTCTTAAGTTAGTCACCCGATCGTTAAGCAAATCCGGTTTTCCCCATGGACTTGGCTTGTCAGAAGGTCGCAAAAGGGGATCACGTGACTCCCCCGGGACGCGGCGACTGTCGTAAATATGAACCGGTGGCCCAGCCTCTGAATTTCGATCCCGTCGCCACGGGGATCCTGCGACGGTCCTAAGTGTGAAAAATGGCCCTGAGTCCCTTTTTTTCGTGCCTATGTCACTTTGAACGGTTGCTAAATGAACCGTCGTAAGTGGAGGACTGGCTGTATTCCTTACGGGAAAAATCTGTCTGGTACTCGTCCTTTTTGGTACTTGTGCCTCCCGCCACCGATTAAGGAGGGATACGGAGATACCGCTATCGATAAAAGCTGTACACGATGCGAATCCAATAGCTATAAAACCTAGAACTAAGGAGAAACTTCCTGACAGTGAGGACAATTAACCAGTGGAACTACCTGCCTCCAGAAGCGGTGAATGCTCCAACACTGGAAGATTTTAAGAGGAGACTGGACAGCCGTTTGTCCAAAATGGTACAGGGTTTCCTGCCTGAGCAGGGGGTTGGACTAGATGACCTCCAAGGTCCCTTCCAACTTTATTATTATTATTATTATTATTATTATTATTATTATTATTATTATTATTATTATTATTATTATTATTATTATTATTATTATTATTATTATTAAAATGAAGGAGGGCCGTCTCGGTCCCCAAAGACCCCCCATGTCCCACCTGGTAAACGTGGTTCAGCCGGAAATGCTTCAGGAGGAGCAGCAGGGAAGCCGCGATGCTCTTGACGATGATTTCCTTGTGCCGGTTCACGTCGATCCCCAGCTTCATGCTCTGGAGGACAGTCACCCTGAACCCCAGGAGAAAAAAAGGTGGAATATTAAAATTAGGGGTGTCCAACCGGGGCCACTTTATAAGACTTGCAGACTTCAACTACCCAGGATTCCCCAGCCGCCCTAGAATTCTGGGAGTCGAAGTCCCCACAAGTCTTAAAAATGGCTAAGGTTGGACATCCTTGCCCATCCTGGAAAAATGGAGGTCCGGTCTCTTCTTGAAAGCACTCCAGTGATGGAGCACCCAACACCTCTGGAGGCAGCATGTTCCACAGATGAATTAATAATGATAATAATGATAATGATAATGATAATAATGTTGAAGGGAACTTGGAGGTCATCTAGTCCAACCCCCCGCTCAGGCAGGAAACCCTCTACCATTTCAGACAAATGGCTGTCCAGTCTCTTCTTAAAAGCCTCCAGTGATGGAACACCCACAACTTCTGGAGGCAAGTTATTCCCCAGTTTAATTTTTCTCACTGTCAGGAAGTTTCTCCTTAGTTCTAGGTTGCTTCTCTCCTTGATGAGTTTCCATCCATTGCTTCTTGTCCGGCCTTCAGGTGCTTTGAAGAATAGCTTGACTCCCTCTTCTTTGGGGCAGCCCCTGAGATACTGGAACGCTGCTATCCTGTCCCCCCTCGTCCTTCTCTTCATTAAACTAGACATACCCAATTCCAGCAACCGTTCCTTATATGTTTTAGCCTCCAGTCCCCTGATCATCTTGGTTGCTCTTCTCTGCACTCTTTCTAGAGTCTCAGCATCTTTTTTACATTGTGGTGACCAAAACTGGAGGCCGCATTCCAATGTGGCCTTACCAAGGCATTGTAAAGTGGTATTAACTCTTCACCTGATCTGGATTCTATCCCTCTGTTGATGCAGCCTAGCACTGTGTTGGCTTTTTTGGCAGCTGCAACACACGACTGGCTCATATCTAAGTGATTGTCCACTAGGACTCCGGGATCCCTCTCACTGTTGCTACTATTGAGCAAGGTACCACCTAGCCCATACCTGTGCATTTGGTTTTTCTTGCCTAAATGTAGAACCTGACTTTTTCCACTGTTGAATTTCATTTTGTTAGATAGCGCCCAGTGTTCAAGTCTGTCAAGATCCTTCTGTATCTTAAGCCTGTCTTCTGGAGCAGGGGTCTTCAAACATGGCCCTTTGATGACTTGTGGACTTCAACTCCCAGAATTCCTCAGCCAGCCTCCATTTTGTTTCTTAGATTTAAAACAGGGGTCTTCAAACTCGGCCCTTTGATGACTTGTGGACTTCAACTCCCAGAATTCCTCAGCCAGTCTCCATTTTGTTTGTTAGATTTAAGACAGGGATCTTCAAACTCGGCCCTTTGATGACTTGTGGACTTCAACTCCCAGAATTCCTCAGCCAGTCTCCATTTTGTTTGTTAGATTTAAGACAGAGATCTTCAAACTCGGCCCTTTGATGACTTGTGGACTTCAACTCCCAGAATTCCTCAGCCAGGCACACGTGCCTGGCTGAGGAATTCTGGGAGTTGAAGTCCACAAGTCATCAAAGGGCCAAGTTTGAAGACCCCTGTTCTGGAGTGTTGGCTATTCTTGCCAGCTTGGTGTCACCTGCAAATTTGATGAGTTCCCCATCTATCCCATCATTTGGATCATTTATGAAGACAGCCTATTGTAGCCCTTGTAAAAAAAGGACTACAATTCCTTGTAAAGAGGACTACAATGCCTTCTTTCTCAAAGAGGACTACAATTCCCAGGATTCGTGCCACTGCATAAACTCCTCCCCGGGGGTCAAAGGGAGCACTCCACCACATCGGGGTGCTTCCGTAGCTTTTCTGGGGAGTCCTCCACTTACGGCATTTCCTCCGGTAAGACGTCAGCCAGGATGTTGATTGAGTCCGTCTTGGCTTTTGATGTTGGGGCGGCGGCCAGCAGGATCTTAAGCAGAGCAATCTGAAGCAGGGAAGGAGAGGATCAACCCCAAACCAGCCTTTGGAACAGGCACCTCCGAACCTGGCCGCTTTTAAGACTTCTGGACTTCAACTCCCAGAATTCTATGCTGGCGGAGGAATTCTGGGAGTTGAAGTCCAGAAGTTTTAAAGTGGTCAGTGTTTGGAGACTCCCCAATAATAACAGAAAACCTGTACAACCTACCAAAACATTCAAACTGACAGAAAGGTGCTCAGTCCAATCAAACAGGTTTTGTACACTGCCTTCTGAGCGAGGGAGCTGGACTAGAAGACCTCCAGGGTCCCTTCCAGATTCTATTCTATTCTATTCTATTCTGTTCTATTCTGTTCTGTTCTTTCCATTCCATTACTTTCATTCTATTCTATTCTATTCTATTCTATTCTATTCTGTTCTATTCTGTTCTGTTCTTTCCATTCCATTACTTTCATTCTATTCTATTCTATTCTATTCTATTCTATTCTATTCTATTCTATTCTATTCTATTCTATTCTATTCTATTCTATTCTATTCTATTCTGTTCTATTCTATTCTGTTCTATTCTGTTCTGTTCTTTCCATTCCATTACTTTCATTCTATTCTATTCTATTCTATTCTATTCTATTCTATTCTATTCTATTCTATTCTATTCTATTCTATTCTATTCTGTTCTGTTCTATTATGTTGAGTCACTCCAGCCACTACTGATCCTTAATTTTATTCATAATTTTTATTCATCCCTTGCATTACGTGTTTTTAAAATAACTGCCTGCCTCTGGCGTGTATTTCGATGTGGATGCACATTTCATAGGTGGCTTCTCCCAATTTTATGCACGGTGCTGCGTTTTGCTAGGGCTCACAAAATAAAATAAGATAAAATAAAAAAGAAATAAAATAGGGCACAGGCCCAGCGCTCACCATGTACTGTGGCAGGTTGTAGAGCATGGCCTGATAGAGAACCTCACATGGCGTCTCTTGCACATCCTCTTCCCCCTGAAGCGTGAGAACGGACACGAAACCATCAGAGCAGAGCTGGAAGGGACCTTGGAGGTCATCTAGTCCAACCCCTTTCTCAGGCAGGAGACCCGCCAAAACCCTTCCAGACAGGTGACTGTCCAGCCTCTTCTCCAAAACCTCCAGGGATGGAGCCCCCACAACTGGGAAGTGAAAAAGGTGCATGGGGCAGCCTGTAGAAATAGTTACCAAAGAGATGGGGCATTTTTCCATTTCTTCCTCATTCTTGATCTGCACTTCGGCCACCGAGATATATTTGTGCTGAGGAGAAGATGGGAACAACAGGAATCGCACAAAACAATTAAAATATTTCGGTGGAACTTTAGTTAAAAAATCCAACGACTTTCAACAGTTTGAAAGTTTATATAGATGTAGAAATGAATAAATTAGGAGTATTGTTGTACGGAGAATAAAGAAGGTGCTCGGCTGGCACCCCTAAACCGTGTCCGGAAGGTAGGAGTGTTAGAGGGGAGGAGTGGTTGGGGGGAAGTAGGTACAGTAAGTAGTGGAAGAGAGGATGTGGGGAGGGGGTGCTGCCAAGCTGACGCTGGACGGGCGCTCTTTAACCGTGTTCGTGGGAAGGAAAGAGGAGGGATGTGAAGGGAGGTAGTTGGAGAGGTGGAGAAGAGGGCGGGCGCGGGAAGGGGGTGGCAGACGAGCAATTATGGTAGTTATTGAATTAGTTATATAATGTATGTTTATAATTGTATTTGTATTGTTTAAAATTAATAACACTTTTAAAATATAAAAAAAAAACAGTTTGAAAGTTTGAGCCAGTTTGGTCTAGCCCAGGGGTAGGCAACCTCGGCTCTTTTATGACTGGTGGACTTCAACTCCCAGAATTCCTGAGCCAGCATGAGGGAAACTTTGGCCCCCTCATGACTCTTGGACTTCAACTCCCAGAATTCCTGAGCCAGCATGGCTCACAATGGAAACCTCTCCCTTTCCCCTCAGCATGGCTGGCTGAGGAATTCTGGGAGTTGAAGTCCACCAGTCATGGGGGGCCAAAGTTTCCCTCATGCTGGCTCAGGAATTCTGGGAGTTGAAGTCCACGAGTCACAAAAGAGCCAAAGTTGCCTACCCCTGGGGGTTAAGGCAGCAGGCTAGAAAGCAGGAGACGGTGAGTTCTAGTCCCGCCTTGGGCATGAAAGCCAGCTGGGTGACTTTGGGCCAATCACCAGGAGACGGTGAGTTCTAGTCCTGCTTTAGAAACAAAAGCCGACTCGTTGTTTGGGGCAAATTAGGAGGAGAAATGCTTGAGGTATGTCTGAGCTTGAGTTGTTTATAAAAATAATGAAGATGGTCCATAAAGAAATAAAATTAATGTAAATAAAATGTCCCCAAACGCGCAGCAGAGCTCCTACAGAGATCCTAGAATCTCCTCGCGAGAAAAGCAGAATTCACAGCTAACGCCAGATGTTTCTTGCCCTTGTTTCTCAACCTTGCCCGCTTTCAGATGGGTGGACTTCAACTCCCAGAATTCCACAGCCAGCTTTGCTGGCTGTGGAATTCTGGGAGTTGAAGTCCCGCCATACTGGTTTATATTGCAAAATATCCGCCTTACCTCTTTCAGAGTCTTCACACTTTCATGGATGGGGCACGGTAAGCCTACTAAAGTATCGGTGTCTCTACAAGGGGGAATCAAAAGAGGAAGGAAGAACAAGGAAGAAGAAGGAAAAGAGACGACGTTAAGAAGCAAATATATTCGGTCTTCTTCTTCCGGGTTCCGGATGTCGTGCAGATCGGCGTTTTTGCACGGCTGCCTTTGGAAGAACGGATTATCCGCTGCCGATCCTTCCTTTCCGCTGTTTATCCGGCTGCAGTTTTACAAACAGACTCTGGGAAAACCCATCCGGTCCAAGTGAGCGGAGAACATGTGGAACGCAGAAATATTTCACCTGCTTTTCGCGTGGGCTACTCAACGGGTGCAGTCTGAGCACCCCGGATGGATGGATAGTCCTCCAGAAAATTCCCTCCCCCATTTGGAGTTAGACAAATGTGCTGGAATTACAGTATCTGGAACCGGAAGAAGCCAGTGAAAATGGAGCGAGTTACAAACACTGTCAGTTTGTGCATTTAACCCCTGACACACATACATTAAAGCTTGTACTTGGGAGGATGAAAATGTCCCTCCAGCACCACCATCTACTTACTGCCCAAGAGTGAATCCAATGAATTTGTTCCTGCTCGTCTCCAGGAAGTGTTCGATGTCTTTCTGTCTGGAAGAGAGAGGGAGGGAAGGAGGGAGAGAGAGAAGAGAGAGGGGGGGAGGAGAAAGAGAGGAGAGAGAGACAGAGAGACAGAGAAGAGAGAGAGAGGGAGGAGAGAGACAGAGGAGAGAGAAGAGAGAGAGAGAGGAGAGGAGAGGGGGAAGGAGAGAGGGAGAAGAGAGAAGAGAAGAGGAGAGGGGGAGGGAGAAGAGACAGAAGAGAGGAGAGAGGGGGAGGGAGGGAAGGAGGGAGAGAGAAGAGAGAGAGGAGAGAGAGAGAAGAGAGGGAGAAGAGGAGAGAGAGGAGAGAGAGAGACAGAAAGAGAGAGAGAGGAGAGAGAGGGGGAGGGAAAGAGGGATGGAAGGAGGGAGGGAGACAGAGACAGAGAGAAGAGATAGAGAGGGAGGAGACAGAGAAGAGAGGAGAGAGGGGGAGGTAGAGAGGGAAGGAAGGAGGGAGGGAGGGAGAGAAAGAAGAGAGAGAGGGAGGAGAGAGAGACAGAAAGAGAGGAGAGAGGGAAAGAGGGAGAGAAGGAGGGAGACAGAGAGAAGAGATAGAGAGGGAGGAGAGAGACAGAGGAGAGAGAGAAGAGAGGAGAGAGGGGGAGGTAGAGAGTGAGGGAAGGAGGGAGGGAGACAGAGAGAAGAGAGAGAGAGGGAGGAGAGAGAGAAGAGAGAGAGGAGAGAGAAGAGAGACAGGAGAGGAGAGAGGGGGAGGGAGGGAGGGAAGGAGGGAGGGAGACAGAGAGAGAGAGGGAGAAGAGGAGAGAGAGGGAGGGAGAGAGAGAGAGAGGAGAGAGGGAGGGAGAGAGAAAATATTCTATATTTTCTATTCTCTTCTCTAATGTTGCCAAGTTCAGACACCCTAATCTAGACCGCCTGTCAAGGCCCCATTAGTGAAAAAGGAGATTTCAGACCTGTCAAATGTCAAGTGGCCCCTGCAGAATTTATCACCATCAATTCATTTTGGGGTGGGAGATGCCCTTCAGCTCTTCCAGGGAGTCTAGCCAACCTTCTCCTTGCCCAGGTGGTCTTCTACTCAACCTGGACTGATATGAGTGCTCCACCACCGCCTCACCCTCCTTCGTGTGTTGACCAGGTCCACGAGGGGACCTCGGGGGACACCGTACCTGACTTTGGGGGCCCACGGAAGGCCCTTTGGGAAGGAGACCTTCTCCACAGGTGGGCATGGAAGCGGCACAGCCTGGAGGACGCTGCCCCTTTCCAAGATGTCCAGATCTCCTTCCAGCCCATTTGCGATGTCATCGGGGTCCTCTTCGTCCACCATGGCCTCCTCGTTCTTGAAGGGGTCCCTCTCGTTGTAAATGTCTAGGCTGTCTTGCTTCATCAGAGGCTGCATCAAAGAAACCAAAGAAAGGAATGAACGTGGCATCAACGTTGTCCTCTGTGGGGGGGGAAAGTCTTCTGCTCTGGGGCTCCTTGCGTGCTTCACCCAGAAGGACCCCCCAAGGTTTGGGGGAAGAAGGGGACGGGCCAAGAAAACCGGAATAAAGGGGAAGGACGGAGCTCGGTCAATGTCTAAAGGATGAAGGAACCATCTCGCCTCCCCTCCAATCAGATTGGCCCGCCCCACTTGTGCCAGCAGAATGGTAGAAGGGGTTGGACTAGAAGACCTCCAAGGTCCCTTCCAACTCTGCTTCCATGCCTCAGGCGGGACTAGAACTCCCCGTCTCCTGGTGATTGGCCCAAAGTCACCCAGCCGGCTTTCGTGACTAAGGCGGGACTAGAACTCACCATCTCCTAGTGATTGGCCCAAAGTCACCCAATTGGCTCTCATGCCTAAGGCGGGACTAGAACTCCCCGTCTCCTGGTGATTGGCCCAAAGTCACCCGGTCGGCTTTCATGCCTAAGGCGGGACTAGAACTCACCGTCTCCTGGTGATTGGCCCAAAGTCACCCAGCCAGCTTTCATGCCTAAGGCGGGACTAGAACTCCCCGTCTCCTCCTTGTGTCCATGGGAAAGAATGGAAGAGACAAGACTGTCTTGACGGCACCAAATTCCCGGGCGCTGCAAGGGGAGACCCTTGGAGACGTACCCTGGCTTTAAACCCAAGCCCTGGCCACTTTCACCATTTCACAAGGGATTAACAACNACCCAACTAGGGAACAGCATCAGTGCTAGAAAGGAGTGGAAAGGAGAAGGAAGGAAGGAAGGAAGGAAGGAAGGAGGGAAGGAGGGAAGGAGGGAAGGAAGGAAGGGAGAAGAACTGTGGGGGTCCTTGGTACATAAACAGAGAGCAAACCCCACTTCCTTCCAGTTGGGTCATAAAACATCTGTAAAACCCTAGTTGGGTCATAAAACATCTGTAAAAAAACCAATCAAGCTCAGAAAGGACCCCACAGTCCTCCTCCTCCTCCTCTTCCACAAACCCCTCCCTTCATCTAGTACTGATGATGTTGCCTAGTTGGGTCATGAAACATCTGCAAGGAATCTACCAAGCTCAGAGAGCACCAGGGACTCCACAGTCCTCCTCCTCCTCCTCCTCCTCCTCCTCTTCCTCCTCCTCCTCCTCCCCAAACCTCTTCTCCTCATCTAGCCCTGATGATGCTCCCTAGCTGGGTCGTGAAACGTCAGCTCCGAGAGGCCCCGATCCCTTCCGGTACACCCCCTGAAGCCCCCGCCGTGCAGAGGGAGAAGAAACTCACTCACCACCAGGACCTTCCAGAGCAGAAGCAGGACCTTCTTCATGGGGAAGTGTGGGGAATGTTCGCTGCAGAATTTGGTCACCATCGTGAACAGCAAGAGCCCAAACGGTTCTTCGCTGTGGATCGGATAACCTGACGGAAGGATTTTGAGAAGTCAAATGGGGGGGGGGGGACAACTTGCCCCCAGAAGCTGTGGGTGCTCCATCACTGAAGTATTTTTAACAAGAAACTGGACAGCCATTTGTCTGAAATGGTATAAGGTCTCCTGCTTGAGCAGGGGGTTGGACTAGATGACCTCCGAGGTCCCTTCCAGCTCTATTTCTAATTCTGATTCAGACCAGCTGTCTTTTCCTTGAAATTCCAAGAACTTTACCAAAAGCAAAAATGGAATCTGAAGCAGAGCAAGGACCGGTGACGAGATCGATGGACACCACCTTGGGCACTCCAGAGGCATAGTGTATGTGTGTGTGTGTGTGTGTGTGTGTGTGTGTATTTGTGTTGTGCGTTGCCGTCACCTACTCAGCTCAGCTCTGAACATCTCTCGGGACGCCGTCCACTTCGGAGGATCTGTCTCCATTTCCACCCGGATGTTTTCCACCATCAGGTACATGACGGTCAAAATCACCCTGGGAGCAAATCCCAAACAAGCTTCGGTTAGTCCTCAGTTTGTAACGGTTTGTTTAACGACCATTTGAAGTCACAACAGCAATGAAAAGAGGGACTGTTTCTTTTGAGTGGCTAGAGGCCAGCATTAAAACAGTCGTAAAAAATCAAGTCTGGTCGTGTGAAGGGCTGCTTAATGACTACAACAGCTGGTAGACAGTCCTTGATTTACAGATGTTCATTTAGTGACTGTTCGAAGTTACAACGGTACTGAAAAAGGGCCGTTTTTCCTCTGTTCCAGCGTCAAAATCCAGACGCTTGGAAACTGACTTGTACTTCTGACGGTTGCAGCGTCCCGGGGTCACGCGATCCCCTTTTGCGACCTTCCTACAAGCAAAGTCAATGGGGGGGGAGCCAGATTCACTTAACAACCATGTGGTTAACTTAACAACTGCAGTGATCCACTTAACGACCGTGGCAAGAAGGTCGTAAAACGGGGCAAACCCCCCCCTTCACAAATGTCTCGCTTAGCAATGGAAATTTTAGCCTCAACTGTGGTCGCAAGTCAACTGTATTTTTGTTGCAAAACCCTGCTTCGCTCAGCAACGGAAATTTTGGTTTCCCTGTCGTAAGCCGAGGACTCCCTGTGAAGGGGAGAATCGCAGAATAAGCCGCTCGGAAAAACTCACCGGAGTTCGGTGCTGTCCGCCACAGAGATGGCCGGCTTCCGCAGGGCACTGCTGCGCGCCTCGGTGTTGCTGTAACAAAAGGCAGGGAAAACCAGTCAGAAGTTGTGGCTCTTAGCTGAAGAAGTACTAATTAAGAAAATTCTAGAGAGTGTGCAGAAATGGATAAATTGACTTTAAAGATAAAAGAGAAAGAAGACTCCGTGTACTTTGGAACACGGGATAATTTCTATCCATGGCTAGAAAAACGAGTTAGAGAGAAAGGAAGGTGATATGTAATTTTGAATATATGTTAGCAAGATTGAGTGATTAATGAACCTATTGTTTATGATAATTAACGATTTTCGATTATTGTTTGTTAAACGCATGAACCCAGACATTATGCTGTTTGCTAAATATTGAGAATGTTACTTGGAAAAAAACCCACCCCCAACCCTAACCTTAATCCCAACCCTAACCCCGACTCCACCTTATTCCTAACCCCATAAAAACTAATAAAATCTATACAAAAAAAAAGAGAAGAAGTTGTGAGTCTTTTTCTTTCACAAAAAATCAGCCGGCGCAAAAAAAAATCACTAGATGCTGATGTCGGTGGTGTTTTTACAAAATACTTTTTAAAAAAGTTTGTCTCCTGCCAGGCACTTATTACCATCTTTGGGGGACGTGTCCCAAAGCCAAAAGATTCTGGTTCAAGAATTCACACGTGGTTAGAGAAAATGACTAAAAAACATAATAGGGTATAAGCCAGAATTCTTTTTGTTAGGCAGAATAGTAGGAAACTATGAGAAAGAGTGTGTATAGATCTAATTTTACAAGTATTAACTGCAGCGAGAATTGTATTCGCTCAATGTTTGAAAAATGAAAATTTACCAACAGAGGGAGAGTTAATTAAAAATTTTTTAGATTGTGCAGAAATGGATAGATGACATCGAAAATGAAAGAGAAAGAAGACTCAGTTTATTTTAGAACATGGGATACCTTTTATCAGTGGCTAGAAAAACGAGGTAGAGAGAAAGGAATTTCACATTGGTAAGTTAAATGTTGGAAACCCAGACAATATGTTGCTAATAAAATATTAAGCATCTATATCTATTTATCTATCTATCCAACTATCTACCCAACTATCTATCCAACTATCTATCCAACTATCTATCCAACTATCATCTATCTATCTATCTATCTATCTATCTATCTATCTATCTATCTATCTATCTATCTATCTATCTATCTATCTATCTATCTATCTATCTATCTATTCAACTATCCATCCATCCATCCATCCATCCATCCATATCTATCTATCTATCTATCTATCTATCTATCTATCTATCTATCTATCTATCTATCTATCTATCTATCTATCTCTGTCTGTCTGTCTGTCTGTCTGTCTGTCTGTCTGTCTGTCTGTCTATCTATCTATCTATCTATCTATCTCTGTCTGTCTATCTATATCTATATCTATATCTATATCTATATCTATATCTATATCTATATCTATATCTATCTATATCTATAGCTGTCTGTCTGTCTGTCTGTCTGTCTGTCTGTCTGTCTGTCTGTCTATCTAAAGACGGGAGGCTTTTAAGCCCATTGCCAAAACGTCACTTACGCCACTTCCATGTTCAGCAGTTCCAGAAAGGCTGTGAAGGTCCCCATTTGGTACAGCAAGAAGTTGTTGTGTCGAGCCCAGCCGAGGACATCCGCTTCCGTGTCACACTCCCCAAAGACCCCTGAAGACCCCCAGCAAGATGAGAGAAGTGAAAAAAAAAATATTCTGCCTAGTTTATAGCAGGGTTTCCCAACCTTGGTTACTGTCTGGACTTCAACTCCCAGAATTCCCTGCCTTGGCTATGGAAGCCAGCTGGGTGACTTTGGGCCAATCACCAGGCGACGGTGAGTTCTAGTCCCACCTTAGGCATGAAAGCCAGCTGGGTGATGGGGCCAATCACCAAGCGACGGTGAGTTCTAGTCTCGCCTTAGGCATGAAAACTGTCTGGGTGACTTTGGGCCAATCACCAGGAGATGGTGAGTTCTAATCCCGCCTTAGGC